TAATCCCAGTTCTTACTACAGTCCCTCTCCCATAGTAAACACTTGCTGAATGTTTGTTGACCAAATGTCTGGGGAGAGGCACAAAAGTGGTGAGTTCACAGGGAGTCTGAGTCCTAATTTCATTAGTTTGAAACTTTAGCCTTCAAACAAATTATTAAACTTTGACCCTTAATCTCCACCTCTGTAAAAGGGGTACAACTAAAAACCTCATAGGGTTGCCAAAGCATTCGGTTAAATAATATGTATAAAGTTCCTCTCACATAATTAAAGGCACACTTATTATCATATGTAGCAACAATCATTATTAATTATTACTAGTAATAATGCTGGTGGCATTAGAGCATGTAGGACTGTGCAACTGGAGGTCTGAGCAACTCTGGGACTGTATTGTGTGTAGGAGTGTTGTTTTTTCTTTTCACTATTCTTCGGTGTGTGCCAGCGTGAGTGGATGAGATCACACAGTTTGGACCATGAGGTTATAGTACGGGGATCTTACACCATCATTTCTCTCATTTTGTGACTAAGGAGCCCAAACCAGGTGTTGCAAATGAGAGCAGGCCAGGTCTGAACATGGTGTTTCTGGGCTCTGTACAGCAGACAATGCTGCCGAGCTTCTGGAAGTATGAGAAAACCATGTACCAAGTTCTTTCTTATAGCTGTGTGTGTGTGTGTGTGTGTGTGTGTGTGTGTGTGAGAGAGAGAGAGAGAGAGACTGCTTGATTGTCCATCAGTGAACATCTGATCCCTGTCATTGTTTTCCTCAGTATTCAAGAGCATCAACCATCTGCACTATTGATTTCTGCTTCTGAATGGCTGTAGCTTTTCTTATATCTTTTATCTGTGTGTTTCTTGTTTTTTCCTCAACTAGACTGTATCTCACCCATATGGCACTAATCTTTAGGTAATTTTCTCAATAAATGTTATCAGTAGGGCCTATGAGAAATATTTGAAATGGTACACTAAGTAAAATTCCGAACTTGAGTCCTGCTTTTGCAATATTTATCTTTAAGTTTTGATTTCTTTTTTACACACCCTGGCTATGAGACCAGATGAGACCAGAGTTCTGGGCCTCACTTTCCCCAATACATGCTAACCGTGCCAGTCCCAAAATTATTTTAGTGTAATTACAAAGGTTCCTCCTGTGCCTACCCATCTACCAGCATTCACTCTGCATAAGAGACTGAGTAAGCAATTCAGTACCCAGTGAGTGCTTATTTTCTAATGGGACAGAAAATGTGTAGGTGAAAATAATGCCAATACAGACAACACAAAGTTCAATCTGTACTGTAGTTCCTTATTACTCAAACTGTGCTCCAGGGACTGGGAGATGTTGGAGACGGAGTTTCCCTCTTTGCTGTGGAACTGCTGACCAGCATCTGCATTTTGCCAATATCCCAGGCAAAATACATCCGAGTGTAGAGAGCACTGCCAGAATGTTCAGGGAATGAAGGTATTACTTCCTGTTGTAGACACAGGGTCTCCTGGGGAAAGGAATCTTAAGGAGAGAAAAGGTTTTGATGGTGGAACAAGTGATGAGGAGGAGGTTATGCTGGGCAAAGGCAGGAAGCAAGAAGGATGGCATTTTGAGTGGTCAGATTTATGAGGGCACAGCATTAGCGCACAGGAGTGCAGCCGTTTGGGAGCCAGCGGTGCTGGATCAGAATACCAGACTAGGGTTGTGAAGATAAGCATTGGTGACCCAAGGAACATCTTTCTGTGTGGGAATGGCACAGACCATCTCAGAGGTGGAAAGGAGCTTCCCGGGCCTTTTGTCTCATTACTTAATAGGATCCGAGATGTGCTTCAGGAGGAGAAATCCAATGTGCCTGTAGGGTGATTTGCTGACTAGAGCTGAAGATTAAGGGAAAGGCATGGTAGTGACGGGAATGAAAAGAAAAGGAGCAGACTACAGAGATGGCAAAGGTAGAACCAGGGGGAGGCAGTATTCAGTACACAGACAAGAAGAGAAAGGTGCAGTGACAATGCCCACTGACAATGGTGGTGAAGACAGGAGTTAAAGTAGGGATGGTGATTTTTACATTTTTGGACATGTTGGTTGATGTGTTAACAGAACACCTAGAAAGACTTGTCTACTATTTATTCAGAAATGGGCATTGGGATCTCATAAGAGAAGTCAGGGATGGAAGCAAAGGTTTGGGACTTCTCAGCAGCAAGGTCATAGTTAAGCTGGGTTGTGGTTAAGACCTCCAAGGCAAGATGACCTGAGGAGAGGAAGAACACAGAGAGAGCCTCCAGGTTTATGGGGAAGATCAACCGAATACTGTTTCCTGAGCACCTGGCTTCCTATCTCGCTGAGGGCAGCTTTCCTCCTTTCTTGACTGTAATACTTTGTTGAAAGAGCTGAAACAGTTTTTACAGTGTTTTCTTTTTAAAGATTTTATTTATTTTTAGAGAGAGGGGAAGGGAGGGAGAAAGAGAGGGAGAGAAACATCAATGTGAGAGAGAAGAAACATCAATCATTTGCCTCTCACATGTGCTCTAACTGGGGACTGAACCCACGACCCAGGCATGGGCCCCGACCGGGAATTGAACTGGCAACCTATCGCTTTGAGGAATGACATCTAACCAAATAAGCCATGCTGGCCAAGGCTACCGTGTTCTTTGATGGCTTAGGAAATACTTTCCAAAATGCAGTTAGTAATCATGAGCATACAGAGTAATTTTATAAGCCACTCATTTTACTGCATCAGACAGGTCCTAACTTAAAACAACAATAAACTTTCTCTTTAATCTGAATGTATCTACTACATTTTAAGTTTTCTTCCATTGTGTAGAGGTTCCTCTCCCTAATATTGTATTTTATTATGGAAATTGTCAAATATACAGTACAGTTGAAAGACTTTTTAGTGAGTACTTCTACACCTATCACCTAGATTCTATCATTACTATATTATTATAATTGCTTTATCACATTTTTCTTCATTTATCCTTCTTGTGTAGAGATTTTTGTAAAAACATAGTTGTGATTGTAATATAAAATTTATATATTGCTTTTTCAGTAAATATTAAAAAGATTTCCCCAAGTTGTTACAAAGTTATTCATAAACATTGTTTAAAACTATTTCAAATTATGTCATCAAATATTTCGTCATACCAGAGGTAACCTAGTGATCCAACAACTTAGGCTTCTTAAAAAAATACCGTTAGGTCCATTTTTATGCTAAATTCTTTTCTGTTTTTAAGATTTATAGGGAAATATAGATTTCCTTATATCTGAGGGAAATAAACACTACATCTCAGAAATATATGCACCCTCATGTTATTGCACACTAGTTATGACAGCCAGGACATAAGGAACAACTCAGGGCCTCTGACAGATGATGGATAGAGGTTTTGGAGTGTGTGTGTGTGTGTGTGTGTGTGTGCGCGTGTGATGGAATGACAAAAAGAAGGAAATCCTACCATTTGTGAGAATATGGATGAAACTTGAGGGCATTATGCTAAGTGAAATGAGGAGACAGAGAAAGACAAATACTATATAATACTATACTGATTAAAAAACAACCCCAAACTCAAACATAAAAAAAATCAAACATCAGATTTGTGGTTACCAGAAATGGATGGAGGGAAAATTGAAGGTGGCCAAAAGTTATAAACTTCATTATAAGATAAGTAAATATTAGGGATGTATTGTTCAACGTGATGATTATAGTTACCACTGCTGTATATCAATATATGCAAATTGTTAAGAGAGTAAATCCTAAGAGTTTCATCACAAGGAAAAATATTTTTTCTTTTTCATTTTTTTATATCTATATGAGATAATGGATATTTACTAAACTTTTTATGGTATTCATTTCATCACATATGCAGGCATGGGCAAAAGTAGGTTTACAGTAATACAAGTAATATAAAAATGAGTTTTGTGTACTCACAACAGTAAACCTACTTTTCCCACCCTGTGTATATGTGTGAAATCATTATGCTACACGCCTTAAACTTACATAGTGCCATATGTCAGTTATATCTCAATAAAATTGGAGAAAAATGTATGGATTCCCAGAAATGGAAATGTTAGTGGATCAAATGATATGAACATTTTAAAGGATTTTGATACTTGTTGCCAAATTGCTTTTCAAAAGCCAAATTTACAAAGTCAAACCGGTGTATCTGAGTGTTTGCTTCACTATATCCAGGCCAGCTTTCACATATTTAAAACAGTACCTAAAAGTTTTTTGTTAAACTTGGCAGGGCCCCTGGGCTGCAGCAGAAGGTCCAGATGCAGCTGAGGACTTCCCCCCTTTTTGAAGTGTTAGTGTCTGGGCTGAGGATAAATGAAAAAGCATTTGGGTCATGGCTGAGGCCTAGGGCATGATGGGAGAAAGGGGGTGACGATAAGGAGAAGAGATTTGATTTCTCTTCACAATTTATGCTTTCAAAAACTTTTTTTGAAGCTATCTCAAACTTACAGAAAAGTTACAAATACAGTACAAAGCTTTTTTTCTTTTGAACTGTTTTGGAATTTATTACTTTAATGATAGTCCATCTCCCCAAATGCTTTAGTGCATATTTCCTATACAGAGGGGAAGGGGATTAAGAAGCACAAACTTTTAGTTATAAAATAAGTAATAGAAACATAATGTACAGTAGAGGGAATAGAGTTGATAATGTCGTAACAACAACGTACGGTGACAGATGGTTACTAGGCTCACTGTGGTGATCACTGTGTAAGGTGCTCCATTTTCTAGCATTTTAGTCACAGGGTTGCTTTTCAGGAGTTTCACTCCAACAGAAGGGCTCCAAGGTGGAGGAGAGGGCGGGGGTGGTGGCTACAAACCTGGGTGTAGTGGATGAATTGTTTAAAAAGATCTTTGCTACCTTGATATGTGATGGAGAGCATCTTATCATTTAAATTGGTAGTAGGAATATGTGATATCTATGCATGTTACTTCTAGAAAGTAATTTTTTATGGTGCTATTTTTCTCAGTCCTCTGATGCTGTCTCATATGCCAATAATTTTAAAAAATTATTTTTGGTAGCTTCCACAATATTTGAAGCTGGAAAGGACAAAAGCAACCCAGATGAATTTGCTGTGGCAATTGACAAAACTCTTGGAGACTTTGCATTCCCGGATGAATTTGTCTTCGATGCTTGGGGAGCCATTGGCGATGCCAGACGAGGATGATCGTGATGTGGATGGTCCACCACTGGGGAAATGAACTGTTGTTCCTTTTTTTAAAGAAACCCTGTAAGACCTGCTTTTAGTCACTGTTATGGACTCTGGTTTGGTTTTATGTGTATGGAATACATTCTTTGAAATGATAATTTTGATTTCTGGGTACTTTTTAATGCAGTTGAATGTGCAGTATGCTTAAGATAAATTACCTAAAACTTGATCAATTTTAATATTCAGTCAAGTTTATTTTTAAAGTAAGTTTTCGGGAGTATTTCTAGGTAGAGGATATTGATCCCCATTAGTACTAATGTTTTGTTTTCCACATGTAAAGTTGATTGCAGTAGCTTTGTAGTTCTTTTGCAAAATCTTAATACAGATGAAATTAGGACCGGAGTATAATTTGCTTCATAGCATTTTCATTTTGTTATGCTGGCTGGAACAGAATATGTTCAGGAAATAAAATGTGGATTATACCTACTGTAGGTCTGGAAGAATTGTTTTAATTTTTAATCCACTGAGTAAGGGAAGGAACTATAGCCTATTGATGTCTATGGCCTACTTTCACTGTGTAAAAGAAGAATTGATTAACTTTTATTTTTTTACTTCTTTGAAAACTGCTTCTTAAAACCTGTCATTGAAATCCATTGTGGTGTGTAACTGTTTGCAGGTGTAGGAGAAGGGTGACAAAGGCAGATAGGGTAGAACTCACTTATACTTGATGTTTGTAAAAGAGTTCTTCAAATGTTATTTCTTTTTTCATCTGTACCTACTCTTTGAAAGTTACTCATTATAAGCACTCCAGGGAAAAGCAGAACTTTTCTTTTGAAGGAGATTTACTCAGAAAATAAGTATGTTTGCGAGCACTTTTTGGGTAAAAGAGCAACATGTTTAAGCCCCCTAAACTTTAGAGCAGATACCTCCAGAAATGGCTTTCCCTCATGTAGAAGTAAAGGAGGAAGGGGGTATTGAGAACACATATTAGCCTATTATCTTCATGTTCTAGCAGATGCTCTCTAAAACCTTACATTATTGAAAAAATTGAGGGCAAATGATTCTCTTATCACTTTTATTTGACATTTTACAGAAGTAAGACAAATGGAAATGAGTGGTTTCAACAAAGGTCATGCAATAAGGCAAAGCCTGGTGTGACCAAGCATTTTTCCGAAGCGCTAGAGGGAGAATGCTGTGTGCTGCCACGGGATCAGAAGTCACCTGCGAGGGGTGTGTTCTAGGGAATCAGAAGTTGTTTGCTTCTCATGCTGGACTGATGTTTCCATGACTCTTGTTTTCTGCCGCAACTTAACTTTTGCTGTCATCTACTTCCCTTTCACATAAGTTCAATGCTGTGTAGCCGATACTCGGCTTCATTGATCCAAAACCTGCACAGAAGCTGTTTTAGTCACTAACGTGTAACAAAAAGTAATGATAGAACGTGGGTTGTCTTCTTGCTCTTGCCCATCCTTTGAAAACAGGATCCAGCTCAGGCTGTGGTCTGTTACTACTTGTTTTATGTGTGTTTTTTTTTAATGGAGGTCCCCAAATGCCTATTAATCTTAATATTGCTTCCCTTGGAAGGCTACATCCTAAAAAGAATTAATATTTTTAGGGACAGGAAAGTTACTGGATGACTTAGGAGGCCCATAGAGACGTTTTAGTTTGGACAACAAAATAAATTTCTTGGCACGAGAAGTCCAATTTGAAATGGTGAAGCATTAATTATTATTGACAGATCTCAGTTTCTTCTTCTTTTGTGGGCATGCCTGATGATTGATGCTTGGTGTTGATGCCTTGTGATTTAGGGAATCCCTAACTCACAGAGTGAGTGTGCTCATCATGGTCTCTCCGTGACTGGTGTGTAAGGGACTGATGCCCGTGTACAGCGGTAACTGTAATTATCAGAATTAAATGGGCAGTTATCAATATTAAGGGCTTCAGCTGAGCACGTGCTTTAATACTAACAGATTTTTCCCTTCAAATGTGTTTATCTCTTACCTCTATTACTAAACTGATAGCAAGGTCAGTTTCTTTACCTTGTCTCATTCCCTTACCTGAAAATATGTCTACTTGTGAACTTTGTGACTTTTGGTGACTCAGTCCACAAAAGGAGCACACTTTTCGTTGTCACAGTCTGATAGTGTGGGCTATCTGCTGTGACAATGAGACAATTTACATATTTTTTAAAGCATGCCATTTCATGGATATCACTAAACATTTTCAGAAGGCCTCTGCCGTTTTCTCTTGTTCTGTAGTCCTTGCCCCCTACCCTACCTCTACCCTGGCCTAGTGGAGAATGATTATTTTATTCTTGATTTCCTTCCATGCAAAACAGCATCTTTTAGTGGACACAGAGAACACTGTATGTTTTCTTCATGGCAGAGCATGTAGATGATGATTAGCATTAGGTTCAATGGGGCTTTGATTATAGCTTGGTCCTCATAAAATGTACAAATGATGGTTACAAATAGGTGCATTTGGGTTTTTGTTATGTTTCAAAAAATATATAGCTATATATGTTGTGCAACTCTTTTTAAAAAAATGACAGACATTCTTTTTTCTAATTACTTTTTAAAAAATACTTAATTTATTTTTTAGAGAGAGGGGAAGGGACAGAGAAAGAGAAGGAGAGAAGCATCAATGTGTGGTTGCTTCTGTCCTGCCCCCTACTGGGGATTTGGCGTGCAACCCAGGCATGTGCCCTGACTGGGAATCGATCTAGCAGCCCTTTGGTTTGCAGGCCAGCACTCAATCCATGGAGCCACATCAGCCAGGGCTGCTGTGCAACTCTTTAAGAATTCAATTATAAAAGCAGTAATCAGCTAATTGCTTAGGGTTTCTATATATAACCTGTTTGGGGCTGCTATATCCAATATTGTGACTAAATTGAGATAATTAACTAAATAGAGATAACTGCATTTTTCTAAGTGATTTTTAAGTTGCAATATTTCCCCTGTAACTTTAACAAATGGATATTTGTCCAGTAAAGCATGCTTTAGGTAGATCCATGTTGTTGTTATAGACCTTCATGAAGTCTAGAGAGAGCCTTCCTGATAGGTCAGCTACTGCTGCCTCTCTAGCATAGCAGCAAAATGAATTTCATCTGCAAGTGATGTTTTCAAAATGATGGTTCTTAATTGAGCACAGTTATCCATCAAAGATAAAAAATTGATCATGTAATGACTCTCTTACTTTCTGATACATCTAAAAATATATGGGTGCCAATGGCATTACTATTACTCTGGTGGAAGTAGTAGGTTAGAAGCTGTAAGTGCATAAGGAGAGAGAGATGCTTATAACTCCCAGTCCCAAATATTAGTGCTCTGTGTAAAATGCACATTTATTATCTTCTTGACATAAACTAAAAGAAGTATCAGAGTATGGTTATAAAATGTTTCTAAGATTGTGAAGGGTACAGCCTGTCCCTACCTATTACTTGAAAATCTAGTTCTAAGAAATGACTTATGGTTATTATTGGTTAGGAGGATCAAAATTGGATATGACATCTTTATTTTAATGGGAGACATTAAATCTCTGTAAGACTTAAACACAGCTATAAATATTTTTGATGCTGTAATAGAAAAAGAAATGAAAAATTCTGAAAGATGATTTTAAGTAAATATTTAATATTTTTAACTGTTTGTGCCATGCAAAAGTGTTGGCTATATGCAGATTAAATATTTCACTTTTGTTTTGGAAAAAAGAAAGTTTTTCTCTTTTATACAATTCATAGCATATACTTTAAAATGTTTTTTGAGATTGAACTTTAGAAATCTATTAAGCAATATGTGAAATTGTAAATTATATTTTGATATTGTTTACAAATGTATTACTGTATTTCTACTTATAGATGTACACGTCTTCATGTATTGATCAAAAGTAAATTACTTATAAAGCTATAATAATTTTATATTTCATACATGTAAAATGACTCCTTAAAATAAAAACCTTTTCATTAAAAATGTGATGAATGTTTTTATCATAAAAATCAAATAAATACTTGAGGTTTTAATTATTAGACCTTTTAGTTTTGTTTAAATAAATGAAGGGAATAATACATGTGATTTTTCAGGCCTTTATGTTTTTAACATATCTTTGGTATATTTTTTTCTGAGCTTATTTTGTACAAGGTATAACTTCCAAAGTCTTTTAAAATCCCCCAGTTTTTGCTTTGATTCTGGGGAAATACATGAGATATGCACTGCCATGGTATTTTAGGATAAACTGGTCATAAGCTCACTCTGTCATAAGATGGAGGTTTAGCCAGGGTGACACTTTCCCCTTTGTTCAACCAGTTTTAAGGCAGTAGTTTCCAAACAATAGTGTGGGTGACAGAAGATATATCAGCCCAGAGCTCTTAGGTAGTTTTGTATACCTTTGGATTCGTTATCTCTGTGATTTAGTTCAAAGGCCCTATCAGAGCTGCTACAAATATCATGTCTCCATACAAATACCATGCTATACCATGTGTTTGGGGTGGGGTCCTGGAGTTTGCATTTTGACACATCCTCCAGATGATTCCAGCGGAAGTAAACTATGGACCTTCACTCTGTGGTTTCTGATGGTCCTGCCCTAGCATTAGAGTGGAATTATAGTTGTGACTTCCAGAACTGTAAACAAAGACCTAAGAGATATCTCTGATACAGTTACATAAGTGGAAAAATGGGTGTAAAGTAGTATGGGCAAAAGCTGTATATGACTATGACTTATTTTAATTTCACTAAGTGGGTGATTTTCTAAATGTAATTTGGTATTCCAGAAGAATTTCTCTTACAGAAATAGAGTTCCCAGAGATTTTCACCAATAATACATCTAATAAGAGGTTAATATTGAAAATTTATAAAGAACTCATATAACTCAACACCAAAAACCCCCCAAAGAATCTAATTTAAAAAATGGGCAGAGGACCAGAATAGACACTTCTCCAAAGAGGACATACAGATGGCCAATAGACAGGAAAAGATGCTCAGCATCATTATCTTCAGAGAGATGCAAATTAAAGCCAAAATGAGATATCACTTTGTACCCATCAGAATGGCTATCATTAATAAATCAATAAACAAGTGGTGGTGAGGATGTGGAGTAAAGGGAATCTCATGCATTGTTGGTGGGAATGCAGACTGGTGCAGCCACTGTGGAAAACAATATGGAATTTCCTCAAATAGTTAAAAATGGAATTGCCTTATAACCCAGTGATTCCACTTTTGGGGAGGTATCTGAAGAACTCCAAAACACTAATTTGAAAGAATATATGCACCCTTATGTTTATTGCAGTGTTACTTACAATTACCAAGATACAGAAGCAACAGAAGTGCCTGTCAGTAAGATAGGGGATAAAAATGTGCTGGTACCTATATACAATGGAATATTACTCAACCATAAAAAGAATAAAATCTTACTATTTGTGAAAGCAAGGATGGACCTAGAGAGTATTACGTTAAGTGAAATAAGTCAGAGAAAGACAAGTACTTCATATGACTTCAC